TCTTTTTATTTATTTTGTGGAGTCTACATCTCCACCAATATTAGCACATATTCTTAAATCTACATATAAACAGGAGTTAAATTGGAAAATTTAAAATTGAGCATAAGTCTAGCCTCCATTAGAAACTGAACCTTGAAATCAAACCTACAATCATTCATGAACCTGAATATAATATTTATTTTGAATTTGAGCTTTTATGAGAAACTAAATATAATCATAAATATGAAACTTCTTCTCTTGAATATAATCCTGAACTACTAAAAGATATTGAATCAATTCATGGGGATGGAAACAATACATGTTGCAGTTAATGAGTTTAATGAGCAAGTTGAGAAAGTAAATATAGATTATAAAAGTACATAAAAGAAGAAGAAAATTTAGTCATTTCAATTAAAGTTGATAATACAATTGAACAAGTTGATTTAATTCCTGATTAAAATTCTAATCAAGAAAAGTTACTTTTGTTTTTTTTTTTTTTTAATTATTGGCTTCTCGACATACAAATTCCAGAAGATAAACTTAAAGATAGCAAGAAATTGCATTACTATTTAAACAAAATTTTAAATGTCATTTTTTTCCAAATATCCAACTTTAAATTTCTTCTATTTGAAGAATCTAAAAATACATAAATTATCATATCTAGCTTTTAAGCCATTCCGGTTAGCTTTCATCAATAAATTTGTTAATCCATGTGAACTTCTATATTTGTGGGTGTTCATGTTTTAAATTTTTTATAGTTATATCACATAGGACTAATTTATAAATCATTATTAATTTCCCTTCAAATGCACACATTGGAATTCTAGTAATTTCATTACTAGTTTCATATCATTTCTATGAATTGCATATATAGCCTAAGTGGCATGAAGATTCCCTCAAAAAATATTAAATGTTCATTTTGGTAATTATGAGCCCATTGCATTGTTTAAAATTGCGCAACATGAGACTCGCCATGAGACCCGCCTCAATGCAATTCCAGTAAAAAAAAGCCTTGAGCTTTTATTATGAGGCTTACGTCTCATCCTATGATGCACAGACACGGACACGGCGACACGGATACGACACAACACGGACACAGGACACATCAGTTATTAAAAATATAGGACACGGACACGAGTTGGACACGGTATTATAGTTTTTATATTTAAAAAATAGTTAATAAAAATTAAATAAGTATAATTTTAAAAATAATTTGAAAATAATAAGTCATTTAACTACAATTTGTGCTTAAAATGATTAGTATTAGGATGTCGAGAGTCAGGCGTCGATGTCATTTATCAATCACCGAGAGAGGAGATGAAAATACCTTCACTGTCAAAAAGAAATGAAAAAGAGAATATTTGATCATTGGGTATTAAGTGCGGACGTTGATCTGGTGTTGTGGATATGAAAAAAGAAATTTAGTTTAAATGCCGCCAAATACAATAAATTATATTTAAAAAAATTCATAAAATATTTAAGATACGCGTGTCAAACACGCGGGTCCAATTTTTATTTAATATTTTTTAATCGGACATGTTTTCGACGTGTCCGACCCATTTTGGAGGAGTGTCGGACGAGTGTCGTGTTGGATACGGTGTCGGACGCTGCAAGCCTTTTTGAGGAGAAGTGTCGGTGCATCATAGGTCTCATCTTGGATGAGGCTTGCCTTGAGGCGCACCTTGCCTCGCTGGCATGAGGTGTACACCTCACTTTATTTATGTCTTTTTTATTTAAAACTTAACACAAATCATATACAAAAGCCCAAAAAAAATCATGTCTTGCACTCCCAAAACACAGCAACTTCCTCTCAATTATCTTGACCTCTAGCTCGTCGCCTTCACTATAGTCACCACCGTCATAGGTGCTGCAGGGGATTACTAAAAAGCCACACGACACCATCATCTCCTCTTAAAATTTTGGAGTATTATTTTTATGCTGATGACAAATATTTATAAAAGATGATGATGATTGAGATAAATGAAAAAGAAGCAAATCGAGTAGTATTGGACCCTACAGAATGAGACTGGGAAGAGACCAATTTGTTATGACAGTGACTCAAAAAAAAATCCCCTTAGTAATGATAGTACAGATGATTTATAAGTTGTTACCAAATATTTCAGCTTTCTTTAAGAATTAAAAGTAGAAGAGTAAGCAACTAAGAAAGAAAAAAATAGAGATGAACTTGATATTATATGATACTTTTATGCAATTCATATATTTTATGTTGTTTTGTTCCTGTAATATTTTGATTTAAATTCTATTTCATATAATTAATTACTTAACACTTTACATCTTATACAATTTTTTGATTTCATATGTATGTAAATTTATTATTTCATAGTTCAATAAAAATTTAATATGTCATCCTTTAACATATTATTTGGATATTGTATAAAAAATACTTTTAACTTTTATTTTGACTTTGCGCAATTTTTAGATTTTGAGGCTTAGCCTCAAAACGTTTTGAGTCTTACACCTTAACTCACGAGCGAAAAACGCCTCAATATCCAAATGCGCAATTTTAAACCTTGACCCATTGTTCATATAAAGATATAAAATTCAAATCAAATAATAAGGTAATGGTATGTATGAATCCTAAAAGGCTTAATACAAAATATTTAAGAATTTGAGGTAACCTTCAAAACAACAAATTTTGCAGTCAAGCGAGCTTGCTTGCAGTGTAAATGGCTCTTGCTCAAAATTGGGCGAGTTTAATTTACCTCAAAATGAACTAAAATAATTTACACTACATTTAATTTATTTTACATTCCTTTTTCATCCAACCAAACAATAATATTTTCAAAACCCATGCATTTGGAATACTTTACACCCACTTTACTTCCAACAAAAAAGCCCCTAAATGTAAAGCATTGAAATTAGAAAAAATCTCATTAAAATCTATAATCAATAGCATGCTAAAGCAAAATAAAAAATGGATGAACTACTAAATAATTGCAATTAAATTACATGAAACAAATAACATTAATTTGAGTTGGGCAATGAAATAAAATTAATGATCACATTTCACAGTCTTTTATCAATTTTACGAATAAAAAATAAGATGCCTCAAAAAACAAACACACGTTCCAATGAAAAAATGAAATAGTTCATCAACTTCAAACCAAAATAAATCACATCTTCATCTAAAAAAGTCGATAAAAATTAATAAAGTAATCAATAAATTACAAATTAGAGGCCAAGTTAATCAAAAGATTATGTGCCCAAGCTTTTTATAGGAGAGAATCAATTGTTTGATTTATTAAGAATATGAAGGTATCAGTTAAAAAAAACCTCTATATAAATTTTAAATCAAATGATGCAAAAAAAGATCTTATTATAACAAAAAAGTTAGAAGATGATCGAACCAATTAAATCTAGCAACCAAAGCCATTCTAAGTTACATAGGTCAACTACATTTAACTAAATAATAACAATAAACAAAGAGTGGGAGGCTTTGGGGTCCAATTACAAAAGGATAAGCAGAGCAGCATGTCATCATTATTACAACTCGTTTGAAATTCCACGTCCTTACATCATTGTCATTAGCTTTCTCCAGCAATTATGGATCGGGTTACCCAATTTCCCACTATTTATGTTGAGTTTTTGAATGAGTTTTTTATATAAAAGCACAGTTAGTTATATAAAAGCACAGTTAGTTATATCATAATTCAAATATTTGATGCATTTACATAAAAGTAATGTGAGACCTCAAATAAATAGTATTCAATATTACTTTATAAAAATTTAAAAAAAAATGTGAGACCTCAAATAAAAGCACAGTTAGTTTACAAAAAACAAATCACATGTAACTAGCATCATATGGCAACATATAAGAAAACCAACTACAATAATATCAAGTAACAATTAATCATGATATTAAGATAAATGAAAGTGGGAGCGTATGTACATTGGAGATCAAAAGAAAAAAAAGCATTCGGATTTCAAAGAAAGCTACCACATACAATGTATAAAAAAGAAGTATTCTTAATATGATAAATTCAACGATCAACAAGAAAAGCTAGAAAAACCAATTGTGCCTATGCAAAAACAAAATTAGTGTCATAATAAATTCAAGGCCTAGCTGAAACAAAATCAGTATCCTTGCGGGAAAATTCAGTAGCCAACAAAGGAAAATACATCACGCATACATCTACAGAATTCTTTTAATTCGATAGTATGAGCAATAATGAACAAGTTTAAAAATAACTAAGATACGCAATCCACAATTATTTCAAAGCATAGTATTGAATGTTCATGTTTCTATACAAACATGTAAACAAGGAAACCAAACAAGTGAAGATAAATCAGATAATGATTGCAATTACTTTTTGATTAATAATAATAAAAAGGTCAAAAAAATATAAAGATGGAAGTGTCACAACTAATTGCAGGAATCAATAAGGCTCAAACATGACATTAGGAAACTCATGAGCATGTGAATGTTTGCCCCCAGATTTTAATATTAATGAAACATAAAGCGGGAAGGGAAAGAGAATAAGCAAGGCAACCCAGATTAAAACTTTAATTCGCATAACAAAATCCAACATTGATTAACTAGTATCTACACAGCTGTTTTGCAGGTGCAGGAGTGGAAGAAATAACAGGGTTTCCCAACAAGATTTAGAAATCAACGCCCGAACCCCACACCAGCAGATAAAAGGTTTACGATAGAACAAGATCTATGAAATCTTGGACAAAAAAAGCAGATAAACATCATTTTCTCTCCATACAGAAAGCTGGCTATTTATTTTCCCTAAATCAGATCGTTCACAGCCACTAGACATGAAAAGGAATAACAAACTATTACCGCCAAACATGAAATTTACTGTTAATAAAGATTACTATAGTTGTTCCATCTGATGACAAAAAAAACCTAGTATTACATTCCCAGATAACCCATGTTGCGCATAACCAAGAAATCCAAATAATAAAGAAAAACAATGATAGGTGTAACAAAAAAACATGTTCAAGGGAGCAGTCGAATCACACCCATGTAAAAAAAGGGGAAAAAAGCATACCGCCATACTCGGGGCGAGGGCGCTTCAACGAAGCGGGTGTTGGAGCCTCCGCCAACTGCTGGCGCGGGTCCGCGTACCTCCAATACCCATCCGCCATTTTTCCTCGAGCCGAGCAGAATGAAAAAAAAAAAACTAGGGTTTTTCTAGTTTCTTCTCTGTCGCGAGGACGAAGAAAATACAAATGTTATAGTCAGTAAAGAGCGCCAAGCCCTAATAATTGATAAAAACAAGCACAGACCAGTCTGTGTTTTAGAATTTTAGGTCCTCAAATATCAAGATCCGTCAATGGCTGTCAATGTAATGAAGGTGGAAGCAAGAAACGGCGGATCTCAAGTTCCCCATATAAATTTCTCTCTCATTGAAAAAATTTATATGATCCATATGCATTGGAATTTATCTCTCACATTCAAAATTTAATATTTACTTAATATCGCCTCTAAAACTTCTATTAACATCTTAAATCCAATTCTCCTTACTTTTTCACCGCTTAGATCATCTTCAACCCTTCAACAAATAACCGAATGGTGGCCCTCATGAGTCGCAATCGAACATCTTTTCCTCCGCTATTTGATCACGGATGAACAGTGCGACGTCAATATTGGTGTTGCACTGTTCATCTGCGCCATTTTTTTGATCTCTACCGAACTTGCGGAAGAAATGTGCGAAAGAAAAGAGCGACGGTTAGTGGGTAAAATGGTGTTCGATTGGAGATGAATCACGACACTTTTTGGTTTCACTGGATTTTGCAGTGAAAAATGAGATTTTTCGGTTGGAGATGCACTTAAGGCTGTCAGGAAGTAAATTGTAACATATTATAAACATTAGGGTTTTTAAAGTATTAGCATTTGATTTAAAATATTAAAAATACGGAGTAAAATTTAAAATATTAAGAATTCATATTCTAGTTCTATTTTGATGTTTTTAAAAGTCATTTAAAAAAGCTGCCCTTGCTTGCCGCCTCCACCACTCCTGCCAACAGCCCCATCTATCACTGGCTACTGACCCGACCTGCTGATGTTGCCACCTCCATCATCGACACCAGCATCGTCAGAAGATTTGGCTACTACCACATTTTTCATGGGCTACCAATAACCATCGATGCTAAGATTTAGGCTTAGTTTGGGACGGCTTTTTTATTGCTTCTTAAAGCAACTTTTTAGTTTAAGGCTTCGTTTGGGACGGCTTTTTTATTGCTTTCTAAAACGGAGTTTTAGTACAAAAATAAAAAAATTTGTATTAAAACTCCGTTTTAGAAAGCAATAAAAAAGCCGTCCCAAACGAAGCCTTAATATTAAAATTTTTATACTAGAAAACTGTTTTAAGAAGCAATAAGAAAGCCGTCACAAATAAAGCCTTAGATTGCATTCATTTTATTTAATGATAAATAAGTTAATTACATTTATTTAACATTCATTTAAATAATTTTGAAAAATTTCAAATATATTAGTTTTTTACACAATACTATTGTAAATAATAGTTCTTTTTTTTTTTTTATCAGCCTACCAAATAGCTGCACAACTCAAATATACCATCAAATCCAAGGCAGATTATCCCACCACCGCCGTCATCCACCACCACTCAACCACGGCCATCATTATCGCCACCCGCTAGCCATCATCATCTTTGTACTTAACACTACATTCATTTTATTTCAAATCAAATAAATAAAAAAAATTATTTACATGCATTTTTTTACACTCATCTAAATAATTCCAAAGTATTAATTTTCTACTATATTCATTTTACATTGCATTTCTTTTATATATATTTTTTTTCTTTTTTAGCCAATCAAACAATCTTATGAAATAGCAAAACGTGTGCACAATTAAACTGTTGATATTTACCTGAAAATTTTCGAGCTAGAAGGAATCTTGGAAGATAAAAATTTTGTTCTTTTCTTCTTAAAAATAAAAACGTCACTTCACTTAATTAAGTTATTTTTTAACATTCCAATTATAATATTATATTTAACATAAAAGTGTGTCCACTTTGGTCCACCGCATAAAAACCGACGCATAGATTTGATTGGTCTTCTCCAATTATAATATTATATTCACTTACTTTAACAAAATTATAATATCATCCAAGTGGATTTTTTCTTATCATGCTAATTATAGTGAATTAAGTTTAAAGTAAGTCGATGGATAAAATGTCAATCCTCAATGATGTGAGTTGTGGAGTAAACCTTTTAATTGTATTAAAATATAGTGCTTTATCACTCCTAAATAATGTTTAATTTTTCTTTGATATAAAAATAACAAACCTCACTTAATATACTCAAGCATACGTGCCGAATCAAATAATAAAATAATACAGCAGAGTATCGAATATACGATGAAGTATGCTTACTTGCAACAAACTATTAATATTTACTCTAATTGAAATAATTATCCTATAGAAATAAAAATATTATTTTTGGAGATTCGATCACTGAATAAAATAGTTAAAATATTAGATATAATATTTAATTAAAGTATTTTGGATAGATGAATTTAAATTGTATATTTTTTTTTCTAATGAGACTATTTATGGTGATATAATTAAGAGCATATGCATCCCTAGATATTTGTCGAATTTGTAGGGATGAAAATGATATATTCTGGCCTCCTATAGTTATAGTATTTCCTTAAAAACTGAGAATATTTTACATCATATGTCTAGACATGTAAATATTATATCTCAATACTCTTGGGTGTTCTTGCATTCCTTAGTCAAGATTATACATCATATTAAATTTTAATTGTATATATGGTCACTATGTGCATTAAATAAAGAACAGGATAATATTTTGAAAAAATCTTTTAACAATTATAGAACAAGAGTCTTTATTAGTACTTAAAAATGTATTTTACTTCTTTAATCCAAAATAAGAAAATTAATTAGACATAGATGAATAACAAGCAAACTTACTTTCGTTAAAATCATGAAAAAATAAAAATAAAAGAGGATGATAATACTAAGAATGGTCAAAGTATCTCCTCTACACTCTTTCTCCTTCTAATTTATAGAGTTGCTTCAAGAAACACAGGCTAAAAACTCCAGATTATTGTATCTTGTATTTTCCTAACCTCTCTTAGATTTTACTCTAAGAGGGAACTAAGAAGTACTCTAGAAAGTATTGAATTTTATACAAGTGACTGAAGTCCCATTCAAACATAACATTACAACTATTTATAAGGAAACGTAAAATGTTTTTGGCACTACGATGCTTGAAAGAATAGCGTCGCAGCACCCTTGAAGTGAATTAGCACTTCGACGCTAAAGCTTATGCACCTTCGTGGTGCTTGTTAATGTGGATTGTTTACTTGGTGAACATACGTGTCTCTTGTCTCTTTACTAATAGAATATGACTCTTGAAAGTTACAACTGTAACGTCGCAGCACAGTAGACATTTGAGCACTATAGTGCCCAAGTACAAAAATGGTGCCAAGGCATGAAAAGTTGTAGCACCGCAGCATTTAAAACAAAGAATCTGGTGTTGCGAACATGGATTTAATTATTATAATTTTGATGATAGCAACAATTTCTGGCATTTATGTTCTTCTACTATTGTCATGTCTACTAACATTTCAGGTCCACAAGGTCAATTGCAAATCAAGCATACTCAAGATTGGGTAGATTAGGACTGAGTCAATCTGTAAGTATACTTCAAGTATTTCTACCATTTCTTGAATCAAATGTAATAAAGTGGGTCATGATGCTAAGTAACTGGTGGGAAAAATTATGTATCACCACGCAGATTTTGATTTCTCCTATTTTGTAATCGAATACTGCATTGAGAATAAAGTACGATCTCGAGAGGCCGACATAATATTCTACAATGGATTCAATATCAAAATAGGGTTTTGAAAATTGATATTTCTATAATCAAACATAGTTCAAAGAATAACATATCATCTCAAAAGATGAACATGAAATCCTATAGAATATGTTTAAAAATAGAAATACGTTTTTGAAAAAGTTTATTCATTCTTTTATTTAGATATGGCAAGAAGAATATTATATCATCTTAAAAGACGAACATAACATTCTTCAAGATATCCAAAAGCGAGAATGAGTTTTATAAAATTCATCATTTATAAATTTGAATATAACAAATATAATATTATATTATCTAAAAAGATAATAATAACATTCTATAAGTCTATTCAAAATTAGAAATGAGATTTTAAAAATATCTACATTCCTAAATATTCTTCCCTTGTTTTATACGAATAAAACAAGGTTTATTTTAGTCTGGGGTTCTCAAATTCCTATAGAGGCAAGCCCCTATAGTTAATTACATCCTAGGAGAGAAGCTCCTAAGAAAACTCTCGATTAAAGCAGTGATTTCATACCCTTTTGAGTACAAAGTAAAAGACAAGGAAACAGAAATAGGAATTTTTCAAGGAGAAAGCTCAATGTTGAACATTTATTAACGGGTCAAAGGACGAGGGTAATTAAATTGAAGTTACTACAGGGACCTAAAAAGGAAGGGTTTGCGCACACCACATCAAGGGGTCCCTAAAGGTTTTCTAAGTTTAGAAATACTTACAGTCACCGGGGGCTACGACCCGGTGGTTCCGCCCGTAGCACCTCTACCCGGTTGGATAGAGGCGACTGACGTCATTAGCTCCTTATACATTTGTTCCCTCGACCGGTACCGTTCATCGTAGTTCATGCCAATAAAAAAAGAAAACAGGGATTAGAAAGCACATTTATTAATTAATAATAAATTAATTGAAATTTACTGAAAATAAAAGACGTACCTTTCTTCGGGCTTGAACACCGGTTCTGTTGCTTTCTTTTTGGAACCTTTTCTTTCAGAAGTATACTTTATATCTTTCCAACATTCACTTACTTTTTTTTTTTCAAACTTATACAATTTTCATAAAATAAACACTTTACCTTTCACATTTGTATATTTTACCATTCCCAAAATCATACTCTATACTCTTCCTTTTCAAAATACTTTCATACACTTCGATATTCAAAACACCTTTCAACACACAAATTCCACTTTCAAGACATAAATCTTTCACCTTTCTAAATCACAGAAATTCCACTTTCAAAACAAAACAATTTACTTCAATACTTCATACACTTTACTATTCGGCATTTACACATACAACACACAAGTTTCACATTTTCGAATCCACAAACCCCACTTATTATTTCTCATATGTATCACCTTTTCAAAATATGATACTTTTCATTTTCCAACAATCAAGTTTCACTTTACCATTCACAAATCATACACTAAACTTTTCATTTAAACAAAACACCTTTCACTTTCATAATTCTTTTCTACACATACCTTTTACCTTTCAAAATAATATACATTTTTACCCTTCCAAACTTACATATTTCAAAAAAAAATTACATTTCACATATACGTGTGGCTTCCATAACCAAGATTGACTAAACATACATATAAACTTTTCTTTTCTAAATATACAATTTCTACTCTCCCAACTCACACAAGTTCTAACACGTATCCACTTTTTCAAGAAATATACAATTTTCATTCTTTCAAAACACATACGATTTTTATATTTACAAAAACACAACATTAACTTTACTTTTTCTTATTTTTAAGAAAATGACCCAACATCACAATGCAACGTTGAATTAATTCTATAGAAAAGTCATATATATATA